GGCCCCGGCTTCGGGCGAGCGAGGGGAGGCCGGGTCGAGGGGGGTTCGCCGCCGTTGAGTGTCACTGGCTCCAAGGGTTCTGGCGGCCAAGGTTCCCCTGTTACTCTCCCCGGTTACCGACCAGGACCAGGGGTTCCTAGGGCCCACGACGCGGTCTCAACTTCCTCCACGCGGCCCATGTGCACGTGGCTGGGCACCCGAGGCCGCAATAGTGAGCACCAGCCCTTGTGCCAGGCTCTGTGTTAAAAATAAAACGGCCACCGTGCCCTTCCCATTAGGCTTCCTTTCTGAGGGACCTAGGACAGAGCCTTGTCCCGGTCCAGGGTCCGAAGCCGCCTCCGGTCTTCTCAGGGTCCTCACCACCACCCCGCCCCCCCCCCCCCCTAACTCTCTATCTCTCTCCCTTCCTCTCTGTAGAAAATCAATAAAATATATTTTTAAAAAAATTGCTATAAAAAAAAAGAAATATCCTAAGAACTAAATAGGCCAGTATACATACACTGACTGGCCAGATTATTATGACCACCCCATCAGTACAATGAAGTGAATTAGTTATGCAAATAATAATAATAATAAAACCTTGAGAGTATTTGCTTAGGAAGTTTTCAATATTCAGTATTTTTGGAAGTGTCAATGAAATACTGATGGGGCGGTCATAATAATCTGGCCACTCAGCATATATATATAATATATGTATATTATATATATATATTTTTTCTTGCTTCCAGGTTGTGTTTTATTCTGATATTTAACTGTCATCCTCTCCACACACCCTCACTGATGACTGGGAATTAGAGAGGAGGCCCTTAAATGGCAGCGAGGGGAAAAGTCGGCCGTGGGTTGAAAAACAAGCAAAATAGCCTCATGCTCATTGGCCCAGTTCGAAGTCCATTCCAGGCTGCACTACTTCCAGAAGCTCGGCATGTCTACCTACCTACCACAGGACAAAAGAAGTCATGGTCATGGGCCCTGCTTCGCCAAACCAAAGACAGACACGTGTGAAGGGCCAGCGCCCATGTTCGCCCGTCAGGCTGGCAGGAAGGGCGCCCGGTCCTGAGTGAGATGGCTGCTGGCACTTGGGAAGCGACTGTAAGGAGCTTCTGCCTTCCCAGTGCGCCTTTATACAGTAAAACGTGTCAATTGTACGAGTAGGCTTCTAATGCCCAGCCTCTCTGAAAACACATTGGTTTCCTACCTTCGAGGTCATTATTTTCCACAAAAAGAAGCGGGGAAAATAAATATTGACCTCTGGATAAAATAGCAAGTTACATAAGTCTGGGAAAGTAAATACTATCTAGGTTGACACCAAATCATTAACCAGGGAGATAGCTGAAACCTGCCATCACCTAGCTGACAACTGTGACTTAAGCAGCTTCAACCTATTAGCCCGAGAAGAAGGCTTATTTGTGCCCCTTCCATTTTCTTGCCCTTGCCTGTTTTGCTTATTTAAGTTGGGGGTTACTGCAAGCAGTCTGCAATTCTAAAGCCATTGATGATGGTATCAATTACTTTATTACAATCCTACACTGGCATCAAAAGGTATGGTGTGTACGTGTGTATATATTATCTTCTAAAGCCTAGGTCTGTCTGAAATGGGTTTTAAAATAATCAGTACTGTTTTGTGTGTGTTTTTAAAAGAAGTTGCTAATATGACATGAGTATATAAAAATACGCATATAAAAAATCAAAAGGGAATACTTCAAAAATACTATAGCTGTTATGTTAAGATGTTGGTATTACCTATGATTTCCCCCCATGGGTGCTGTTTGTGTTGCTTTTATAATTAAATAAATAAATAATCTTAATGAAACTGGTACTTGAGAAAGTTAAGATCAGATTTCAAATAGGTGGACTTCGTTTTATCAAGGTGAACGCATGAATGAGTCCATCAGAGGGTAACCAACAGAAAGCAGAGAGTACATGAAATAAATCAATAAATATATATGCAACAGGGACAGATCTCATTCTAGAGGGTCTAAAGACAATCTCATCTTCCAAGAGTGGTTATGCTCTGATCAAAGGCATAGACAACATTCCAAAGTGGCCACAAAGCGGTGATTTCCCTTTTACAAATCTATATAAATTAAATAGCATTTTAGGAAATTAAAAGCATTAAATTCCAGCCAAGCAACATTTACCCCCTACATATTTCAGTTTTATAGGATCATTCCTGAAATTCACTTATGTATTGCAATATAAAAATTACTTGTATTGTTCAGTCATATGTTTACTTTTCCATTGTTGAAACAATTTTAACACCCAGTACACACATTTCTTCTAGCTCTGCGTTAATTAAACTAGATTCATAGGCTAGAGGGGAAAAGATACAGTTGAAAAAAGAGTCTTTTGGTTTACTTATATAACCTGTTCTTCTTACTTTCAACTAGTTCCCAATATATCCAAGGAAGATGTTAGAGAAGAAATTACCAGACATGACCATGTGTAGAGAAATGTAGGAAATGTAAAAAACATATAGGGAAAAAAGTGACCAGACTTTAGCCTTGCTCTTTCTATATTCTTCCATGCAGCGATTTTCAACCCTTGTGCTGCAAGAATTTTTAAAACAAGCAATGTCCGACTGTTTAGTCAGGGGCACTGACCTCTTTTCCCTTAGATTTTCAAATACAAAAATGACAACAGCCCTGGCCAGCGCAGCTCGGTGGATTGGGCGTGGCCCCATGCACGGAGGGATTGCAAGCTCAATCCCCTGTAGAGAGAGCAATTGACTTCTTGGGCAGCCAGGGGAAGATCTAAAATTGAAAGGGCTGGACAGAGGTGACAGCAGAGATATGTCAAACCTTGCAGCCCCTACACAGCTCTTCAAAATCGGATGCTCATGTCACCTTTATAGAGAGCAATCTGATGCCAAAGGAGGTGAAGCATTCTTTATAAATCCTATTACAGTGTTTCTAATCCACTCAAGGCAGTTAGCCTGAGAATGTTTCACTGATTTACATATTCATTCATTAAATGGTATTGAGTATGTCCAAAGATGAATAAAATATGGGAAGCAGCTGGATATAATGAAAAGAATTTAAGCTCTGAAACTAGAGAACCCTGGATCTAATCCTACCTCCACCATTTACCTATGTGATCTTGAAAACCTTCCTTATGCTTAATTTCTTTGCCCCTAAAATTAAAATAAAAACCCATACCTTATAGAGTTGTTATGAGGATTAAATGAGGTAATGTATGTGATAGTGCTTCCCGTAGTTGGGATTCAATAAATAGTAACTACTATTTTTATTCTAGGCATCAGGATGAGTAAGAAGTTGGCAGAAAAAGAGGTGGGGAGAACCTGTGAAAAGACTTGGATGAAGGAGGAAGATCATGGCATGTGTTAGGGGAACCTCCTTTCCTCTAGCCCCATTTTCCACAGGGGCAGAGGAAGGTGTTGGAAGATTATTCATTAGGCTATAACTTTTGGCTCCTACACCACTAACCTTCACATTCAGAAGGGAGTTACTTGACTGATGAGTACTGTTACATTCATTGGCTCATAGTTTTTGACTGGATGGAGTTAATCTATTAAAAAAAAACCCTAATTGCCCTGACTGGTTTGGCTCAGTGGATAGAGTGTCGGCCTGCAGACTGAAGGGTCCCAGGTTCGATTCCGGTCAAGGGCATGTACCTTGGTTGCAGGCACATCCCCAGTAGGAGGTGTGCAGGAGGCAGCTGATTGATGTTTCTCTCTCATCGATGTTTCTAACTCTCTATCTCTCTCCCTTCCTCTCTGTAAAAAATCAATAAAATATATATATTTTTAAAAAGACCCCTAATTACTGAGGATTCTTTCTCTTGTTCCCTTTCTGCCCCAGAAGACCAGTGCTGACAATGATCTTGGATAAATGTGTCTGCCCTGCAAACCCAACCTTCCCCTTTAGTGGGCTGTTCTTAGGCTAAAATCTGTGATGGTTGAGAGTTGCAAAATGTTAGCAAGCTCCTTTGGGTTACAGATCTAGAACTTTGTTCTTTATTAACTTACCTGCAATAAAGCTGACATTTAAAAAATCTACACTTGCCTATCCTTTTTGGCTTATTTCATCCAAACTTTATGCAGAGTGATGGGGGCAGGACATTCAGTTAATTGATCCTCTAAAGAAATTAACTATGGCTAGAACATAGATTGTAGAGGAAGGGATGGTGAGAGAGAAAGCTGAAGAGGAAAATACAGAAAGATTTCTGCTCAAATTGGTACAGCAAGATTATGTTTTGATCCATTCCCTTTACTGCACACAAATAACAATGATAGCTAAAATATACAAAGAGAAAACCAAAAAGACATAACCAGGCTCAAAAACAAACCTTTTTTTTTTTTTTTTAATCAGAAATAGAACAGCAAGTTTGAAGCCACAGGACCCCAGTGGGCCTGTTGCAAAAGCCAAGATGTTCGTCTCCTGCAGAGGGATAGGAACTAAAGATGCTCCCCACAAGATGGAGGACAGGAGCCATGCTAGTTCTTGAAGCGGTGCTTGTGAAAGGAGGCTGGAAATAAACAGTAGCCAACCCACTGCCTGGGGAAGCAGAGGACAAAGATATGGCCTTGGAGTCAGGAACCAAGCCAAGCAACTGGCCATGTGATTGGTTCTGCAAAATCCCCAACATCTCTGTGGGGTAGGAGCATCAAAATGCCAACATTAGATCTGATTCTAGAATGGAGGTCCAAGGGGTCAGGTGGGGGCAAAAATCGCTGGACATGGAGAGGCAAGCATAGAGGCAGCAAGAGGAAAACAGATAAAAGCATATAAAAACTTCCCATTCAGCATGAGTATAACCACCAAGTTCCAAACACATACAAATATCTAATACTAAGAAAGGCCAACAGAATGAACAATCAGAACATGAATTTACTACTATGAAATGAAATGAACTATGGAACTGCCTGACAACGATTTTTTTAATTAATATTTCTGCATTCTCAAAGCAACAAAGAAATTAGGGAACAAATGCAAGCTGATTTGAGAACAGATAAATATGAAAAATAGCTAAAGAAAACTTAAAAATAATATGATCACCGAAATGAAAAAAAGTCAACAGATTGAGTTAACTGGGGAACTTGCCGAAGTTTAAGAGAAAAAGTAATGAATTAAAGGGATGCTCTGAAGAATTCACCCAGAACACAGTAGAGAATAATAAAGATATTTTTAAAATGTGAATAAAAGTTAAGATTCATCAGGATTCTGTTGAGTGGTGCCAACATATGTCTCACAGGAGTTCCAGAAGGAAAAACTGAAAACTGAAGAGGAGAGAAGCTATACTTTTTTTAAAAAAAGGAAAAAATGACGAAGGTTTTCTAATCAAAACATCAGAACACGTGTAATGAGCAAGACAAATAAGAGTGAAGTAACACTTTTATCACATAGTGAAACCACAGAACAATATGGAAAAAAAGATAAAATCTCAAGTTACCAAAGGGAAAACATTGATTATTTACAAAAGGACTATACCTAGAGTGCTAAAAAGCAACAACAGAAAAGACAACTGAGTATCTTAGAAATATTGAATGGAACACTCTCAACCAAGAATTCGATTTCCAGATAAACTGTCATTTAAGCGAGAAAGCACAACAAAGACATTTCAATCATAAAAGACGAAAAGAGTTTAACACTCACAGACCTACACCCAAAGGACTACTGAAGAATGTACTTCTCCCAGTAAGAAAAATAAGAGAGAAAGCATACAGGAAGTACTGGTTTAGGAAGAAATAAATAAAATGTGATGGTAGAATTAAAAATAACTACTCTGTGGAGAGCGGCTACAACGTTTGGACAGGTTCAAGGCTTGGACTGACTGTGGCAAAGCCACATACGAGTCCCAGCTTGGAGGACAAAGCCCTCCCAGCACAATTATAGCCAAAAGGCTATGGTTGTAAGCTTGACCTTATAGTCCGACCCTCAGGTAGCTAAGGGATGTGGGCTGCAGGGTGTGCAGCAAGTGCTGCCAAAACAAGGCTTGAAAGAGTTCAGAGAATGGCAACAACAGGAAAGAAGCAGATTTGAAAGTTGCAAGAACACTGTAAATATCTTGCCCTTGTTTTGCTTTGTGTGATCTGACTATAAAGCTTCAGCTTACAGGCTGTGTCAGTTCCTCATCCAGACACAGTGATCCCACCTGGTCCCAACTATATTCTCTTGTCTGTCTGCTTTAATTCTTCACCGCCCCTCCTCAGGTTCACCCCTGGCCGTGCTGGACTCAGTTCACTACTGTTTAAAAAAATAAGAAGAATGGAAATACACAGTGGGTAGTTAAAGCATGCTAAGACCTTTGTCATGTTTGGGAGAGGTATAAAAATAATGACTTTGAATACTTTATAAGAAACTTTATATTAATAAAAAGCTGATAGAGAACTTCTAAAACCACAGCGAGAAAAATGTGGCCAAGGGTTAGGGAAATTTGATACAGAAAACTGATCATTCTATATAGAAGACAGAAAAGGAGAAAAAAACGAAAAGAAAGGCATGTGAAACATGACACACAAAAGACAATAGTAGAATTAAGTACCAATATAACAGCAAACACAAAACTGAAGAGATTTAAATTTCTTAATAAAAGGCAGATTATCAGATTGGTATAAAATAATATTCAGGCATATAATGCTAGCAAAAGACACACAAAACTAAACCACTGATATACTGAACATAAAGGGATAAAAAAAAATAAAAAAGAAAACCTATGAAACATTATTAATATTAGATTTCAAAAAGTCTTTTAAACCAAATGTATTAATAGAAACAAAGAGGGTCATTACCGAGAAGTTAAATGTTCCTAATAACATTGTTTTCAATTACAGAAAACAAAACCACCAAAATTACAAAGAGAAATTGACAAGCCCACCATCTGAGTGGGAAACTTTAACAATCTATCAGACACAGCTAGATCAAACAGACAAAAACACAGCTAATAGAGATAGAATCATGAAGGGCCTCCAAGGAGGCCACATTAAGGAGTTGGGTTTTATTCTGAGAGCAATAGGAAGCCATTTAAAGGGTTTTAGGCAAAGGAATGCTTAGATCAGACATGCATTTTTAGAAGGACCACTTTGGCTATAAAATGGATAATGGACTTCAGGGTGGTCAGACTACTACATAGAGGCAGGGACACCAGTTTAAAAAACTCTACCATCTAACAAAGAGACATGAATGGCCTGAACTATAGTAGTACCATTGGTGGTGAAGAAGAGTAAGCATTTCAAGAGGCATTCAGATAGCATAGTTGATTGGATGGCAGGGGAGGGGATCAAGGGTAGTATCCATATTCCTGCCCTAGAAAATTTGATGCATGACAATGAGGAGGAAGAGCAGGGCTTTGGTATCCATATTCCTGCCCTAGAAAATTTGATGCATGACAATGAGGAGGAAGGGCAGGGCTTTGGGGAGGAAAGCGGTACTGATCCCTTGTTTCTGATTATACCACTTAACTCTCAGCCTCTCAATTATGACATTCAAACTGGCTCATTTAAAAAGTTAAATTATCCCTGGCTGGGTAGCTCATTTGGAGCATCGCCCCAATATGCCAAGGTTGCAGGTGAATTCCTGGTCAGAGTATATACAAGAATCAACCAACAAATGCATAAATAAGTGGAACAACAAATCGATGTCTGTCTCTCTCTCTCTCTCCCCCCTTCCTCGCTCTAAAATCAATCAAAATTTCAAAAGACTTAAATTATATTCAAAATACAATGTAAATCAATTTTAAAAGATGTCTATCAAAAAGTTCAACAAAATGAACAATCAAAAATTCTATTTTAAACTTTTGGTGCTTAGGGGATGTTTCAATAATCTGGGGAAAATTATACCTTAACAATATCCCCCAAAAAATGTGTCTATTCTAAATAATCACTTCCACATAATAGTAATAGTCCTTTAAGATTATTTTATTCCATATTGTCATACTTTTCTATACATAATGAATATTCAAACACACCTATATGCCTACTGACTGAAGAAATAAGCTAGTCATGACTTTCCTTAGGGCACAGCTTGTATTAAGGACAAGTAAATCCAATCTGATGACCTGTGAATTCTTACAGAGAGCCATAGATTTCGTAGCACATAGCTCCTTTTCTTTTTTTCTGCTTGTTATTAATTACCTTAAACTATTGTGTGAGTTTATGATATGTGTTTATCCTTCCAGAAACAATGATTCTGGCATTGACTGAAGTTGGGAGCCACGTACCTATTATACAGCCAAACTGAGGTCACTTAAGAAGTACTGAAAATTAAGGAGCTGTTTTCACAAAGGCACTTCACCTAGTAGCTTCAAGCATGAAAAAGGTGGGAAGGACTTACAGATTTCCTATTATGAATGTTAAGATTTTGTACTGTATTTATTTTAATGCCATTCCAAAATGCAAATAAGATTTGGTTTTTAAGTTCCAGACGTGCTGTGCAATTTCAGCCCAACATTTACCACATCTAGTAAAGCCTGAGCCTGGAATCCAGAACAGGGCTGCTCCAAGGGCCCAGAAACCTTTGGAATCGTAGAAGGAATCTGACTGGGAGTCTGCAGACTGGAAGTTTCCTGAAAGTAAAAGAACCATAATGAGATATGCTACCCTGGTATTGCCTCTTAAGTGATGGCAAGGACGTGTTCTTGAGAAGACGAAACCTTTTTTGAGGGCTAATATTGCATTACATTTCACACATGGAGTCAGTTGTGTATTGCTGCCATTATTGTACAATTTCGCCTCAGACCACATTGCTTCTGCAGCCCCCTGCATTCAGGCAGGGGCAGTGCAAGCAAAACAGTGAATGGGCTTCTCCTTCCAGGCCAGTTGCTCTGACGCTCAACCTAAAGAATGCTTTGGGTGCCACGCGCTATGTAGACATCTCTCCGTTAGTGGAGAAACGCTAAAATCACAGAGGCCTGCTATCAAGATGTGGGGTGCCTCTTCCCTATAACGTAAGATAATAGAGCTGCTGCACTTTGCTTTTCTGACATTTTCCAAAATCGTAACTTGTTAGTTTTAAACAGCATGGACAAAACTAGGCCATGGCAATAAAATGATAGTTCTTTATATTTCCAGTTGAACCACATATGTATTAAAGTTAAGGGGTTCTTTGTGTGTGTGTTTGGTGGTAATTTTTTTCTTCAAATTTTTGTATTTTCTGAAAATATATAGGAAGGAAGGAAGGAAGGAAGGAAGGAAGGAAGGAAGGAAGGAAGGAAGGAAGGAAGGGAAGGAAGGAAATAAAGGGGGAGAAAGTGAGGGAGGGAGGAAGGAACCGATAAACCAGCAGATGTGAAGAATGCTCAAGATTTATACACACTACAGAGAGTCAAGATTTGAAGATAGAATCAGCACCCGTCAGGAAAATAGTTAATTGTATCATTTCCACAGTAGCAATGTTAATCATTATAATAACGTAATAACAAGGAACCGGAAAGGTCTTTAGTGCTGTCTTTTATTTTTCAGCAAAGCATCCACAGTGTCCCCACAAGACGTTGACGACCTTGTTTTTATGAATTTCGGGGAAAATACCCCTCATATGTCTGTCTTGCTATTTCATATAAAGTTGTTCTCTGCATCTGAACAGACCTCCTTTCCTTCTCTACCAGCGATTCTGATAGGCAGAGAGGAAAATGATCTCTCAGACCTCGGGTTCACTTAGGCTAATGTAACAAGAGAAGCAGAAATTCCTATGCAGATAAAAGCAGAGCTGGGGAGGAACCACTAACCTCAAGGTAAGCAAGCAAACAAACTAGTGCGTAAATATAGGAAGAAAAGAATACTGGGGAGCAATCTGAATAAAACCTGAGGGAAGAGGGACCGAGAGCGGCACGTTGATTATGGGAAAGGGACACAGAGGTCCCAGGTTATAACTTTCCATAACAGAGATGGGTCTCTTGACAAGACTGTGGCACAGCAAAGGCAAGGAGCTCTGTTTATTTCTAATGAACTAACATAATAGTCTAGGACAGGGGTGGGCAACCTTTTTGTGAGTGCGTGCCAAAACCAGCAAAATCTCTGACTCAAAATTCTTCTGCGTGCCAACCCTAATTTTTTGAGAACATGTTACGCCTACTTGGTATCTCTTAAGTTGTATGTATGTGAAGAACCTTGAAGAAATAATAAAATTCATTCGAGCGACAAAAACACAGTATATGATGATGAAAAATACGTTTATTTTTTAATGTATACATGTTATGTAAAATTATTTATTTATCTAAGATGCACCTACACTGAATTTATCTGAAAAATAAAAAAGTCGATATTAAGAAAAAAATTGTAAATGGAAGATTATAAGAGAAGATTATAAGAGAGGGTTTCGCGTGCCAGCAAAAGTTACTGGCGTGCCATGTTTGGCACGCATGCCAGGGGTAGCCCACCCCTGGTCTAGGAGCATCTAAATCCCAAGGCTTCATGGAAGTATTACTTGATTCGTTTAATTTATCATCATCATCATCATCACTGGTGACAGGCATTCTTCACCTTTCTCTGTTGACCAGCATATTAATGAGCCCCATCTGGTGACCAGTTCCAGTGGTTCTATCATAATTACCCATGGAGTTGGTGTGGGGGTTTTTTGAATCTGCATACCCCAGCCCTTCCCTGAGCCACTTAATCAGAATCTCCTGGAGGGGGACGCGATCGTGTCATGAACCCTAAGGTGCTTCCCTGGGAACAAGAGGCTACCGCAGTGTCCACACCACCACCCGAGGCTGAGCCTTTCTGGAGCCATCGGAGGAGGAGCCAGGGCTCAGGCTTGAGTGAAAAAAGCACCCACTTACAGGCAGTGGCTCCACTTCCGTGGAGCCAGGGTTCAGCGTGATGCCTTTGTTTCCTGCTCCACTAAAAGTAACAAGCTTTACAACATCTGGTTGTTTGGTGAAGGTGTAGAAGTGATGAGTCAAAAGTACTGGGGGCGAGTGTGGGTAGTGGTAGCTTTACCCACGAGGTTGCCCATAAATGGCTTTAATTCATGTACTGCTAGGGGATGGGACTATGGCTCATCCTCCATACTTCACATAGATGACTACATGAACTCTCAGCAATTTGAATATACTTCCGACAGTTGGAGAAGAGGATACAGGACCATGAATAAGAGCATAGACTCTAGGGCCATGCTACCAGGGGGTTTAAATTCTGGTTCTGGCCCCTACTAGTGTGAAAGCATGGGCGTCTTACTTAAGCTCTCTGTGCCTCATTTTCCTCAAATGAAGCATCAGGGGTGATTGCTCCACCTTGTAAGGTTACTGTGAAGACTCAGGGAGTCGGAACCTGTGCAGCTCAAGAGCACAGCCTGGCACGCAGTGTTAGGGGGCAAGGTCAGGCGATGTGATTGGGAGACATGTTTTGCCCCTCCAGGACATCAGGACCTCGCCCTGGGCCTGCGTACGCATGCTGTGTCTTGTTTCGGTCACTTGTCCGGTGAAGCTGATGTGCTGTGGCCCAGGCAGGGCTGCCCCTGTCTTCTGCTGTGGCACAGGAACACAGAGCAACCCTGGAGAAACCTTCAGTCCTGTTGTGTCTTGGACAATTATAATCAGAGAACACACATCATCATCCTCAGAGCCTATTATTACTGCTTTGGATAACACCAGAGTCAGACAGCACAATCTGTCAAGTAAACTCAAAGTCAGCCTGAGCAGAGATGTGATCCCCTTCCCTGAGCACCCACAGGCCCCTGCCTGGGCCTTTATTTATCATATAACATTTAACACCTCAGTGAATGCCTTGCAGTTCCCCAAAGTGCCTTGTTCACCTTTGCCCCTGGGCCTTAGCAGAGGCGGGGTTTGCCTGCCTGGAATGCCTATACCACCCCACACTCTCTGTTGCAACAAATCACAATTGCCTGTCTGTCAGCCCGTCCTCAGAAGGCTGGGAGCTCCTTGAGGACCAGGATTGGGTCTCTCTGACTCCACATTATGTCCCCAGCACCTAGAACAGTGAATCACACATAGCAGGCACTCCAAAAATATTTAAGGAGTGGATGGATAGTTGGATGTAGCTAATAATGGAGTGGGAACCTGCCACTTGCAGCTGTGTGACTTGGAGTAGGTTACTCGACTTTTCTGATCCTCAGGACAGCAGAGCTCAAATAACTTCAACTAAAGGGCAGAGCCTGAGGAAAGCAGCTGGCACGGGGCCCAGAACAAAGTTAATGTTAATAGTTAATGCACGTTTTACAAAGCAGCGCAGCCGATTGCACCCAAGCCTTTCATTTTCCTAATTTCGTCTCTTTCCTTATTAATAAAAATTGATGTTACAACCATAATTGTCACTCTCAAAACCCAGCAAACAGGGGAGACAGGATGAAAGGTCAGAGGTTACCACTCTGCAATTCTCTCAGGTAGACATTTATTAATGCCGCTTCATTAATATTCATTAGACAGCTTGTAGTGACCAGGTAGAGCATAAAGGGAAAATAGCCAACTGAGAGCTCAGACTACTTTCATGCCACGTCCTCTGCACAGAAATTAATCCAACACAAAATCAACATTTGCAGAACTGAAGCTAAGACATAATAGAAAGCCCAGCTAAACATGCCCCTCTGCTTGTCCATCGAGAACCTGGGCCCAGGGACAAAAAGACATCAGCCACACATCAGATGCCATTTGGAAACTCTGTCTGTTCACTCTTTTAAAAAATTTAATGTATAGTTATTGTTTTTTATTTATTTTACTCAATGTTTCCAGCTTTTTTAAAATACGTTTTTATTGATTTGAGAGAGAGAGAAAGGGAGAGGGAGAGAGAAACATCGATCAGCTGCCTCCTGCACACCCCCTACTGGATATTGAGCCCAGGTTGCACAACCTGGGCATGTGCCCTGACCCAGAATTGAACTGGCAACTTCTCAGTGCATGGGAGGAGGACGCTCAGCCAACTGAGCCACATGGGCCAGGACCAATGTTTCCAGTTTTATTGAGATATAATTGACATACATCACTGTGTAAGTGTAAGGTATACAGCATAATGGTTTGACTTACATATATTGTGAATCTAGTTTGCTTTTGATGACAATATCGAACATTTATTGAGTGCTTGCTACATACCAGACAAATCGTACATATTAGCTCTTGTAATTATCGGAACATATTTTTTCCACTTTTGAAATAAGGGAACTCGGTGCTGCCACTGAAACTGGCGAGGTTTAGAAATGTGCCTAAGACTAATTGGTTAGTTAGGAATCAGACTGTCTAACCACACAGCCTGGACTCATAACCACTGCACTGAACTGCCACATAAGGTGCCAGCCTCGCTCCCACTGGCCAGACAGGTCCAGCCCCATCCTGCCTTCCGTCTCATTCTGGAGTCTCGTCCTCTGAAGCTGAGCTTTTCTAGCCCCTGAGCTAAGCAGCACCTCGAAGTGTGCTGAGGCTGGGTGATACTGTTGATTCACGTGATGCCTGAATTGTAGGGGGCCTGGCCCTGGACCATCCCACAGTGAAGGGAGCAATGTAACGTCATGGCAGGATCACATTGGGGGACTCCTCTGTCTGCTCCTGTAGGCACGCCGGCCCCAGCACACTGCCCCACTGAGGGGACACAGCCAGCCATTCAGGCAGGTGCAAGAGACTATTAACCGACAGTATGAGCTTTGGGGGAAAGTGAGGAATAAGGCAGGTGATGAGGACATGTATTCACTGTCTCGGGCCAAGACATTCTATTTGGAGGCAGGCTGTCAGTTCCATTCCATTGTGCCTGGTGTGTGTCTCACGTTGAGACCCAGCCCCTCCTGATCGCCCTCCCTAAGAGCAAAGGTGCTCGGGGCTTTATATTGTGGACAAAGGATATCCTATCTTGCAGAAAATGCTAGTGGTCTTAATCTAATTATCTCAAAACATCGTGACAACCACATTTCCTCATATCTCATCCAACATACGCTTAAAGGATACTTCTCTCTGTAATGACAAACTTATTTGTAAAGCTTATATTCATCCCCAGGCTACTTTCAAAATGAGAATAATGAGGCCTATTCTCTAAATGTCAATCATTTATGACCCTCCTCTCTGCTCACTCCATCCCGGGCCTCACTGATAGCAAGGTGAAGAGTGGCCACTGCATGTCTTTTCAGAATACTCTCGAAACCAAATTTTGTACTGATTCTGCATGTGGACTGTTTATTTGC